ACGATATATGATATATGATATATGATATAGGATCTGATAGGGAAGAAGAATCCCTGGGTTTTGGGATTCAGGATAGTGGCAGAAACATTTCTCTATGTTTCGTGATGTGATGTTTCTTACCCCTTTCACCGCTTGCTCCGACGACGACGACGACGACGACGAAGAAGGGAATTGATGTTTTCATTGTTCTAACATTACATGTTTGTTCAACTTGTCCAACGTGTAGGTTTGGCTTTGGCTTTGGCTCGTGCATGCGGTGAAGATTGGCTCGCAGTTAGATAGAATTGGGAGCTGGTAACAGCCATCACGAGGTTTCAATGTCTGTTGCTCTGGGGGTTTGTGTAGGATCTAATTAGCCTTGTTGGATTCATCGTGAAGGTGGTAGCGGTGATAAAGTCACTTCTTGTTGCGATTCGTAGCAGGTACTGAGGCCTATGTACAGATAGAGGGTGTTTTGGGGAAGAAACTGGAATTGATATGCCATTCCTGACCAGCACTGAAGACTCTACATATCCGCCGAAGCGGTGGCGCCTGTGATAATCTCGACCAATTCTCCCGTGATGACGGATTGCCGGGTTCGATTGTAGAGGATCTGGAACTTGCTGATCATGTCGCCTGCGTTTTTGGATGCGTTCTGCCAAAGAAGAAAAAGTCATCAGTACCTGGCATGCTGTCTTGGTTGTAGGTTAGGGAGACTTACATCCATGGCGTTCCTCCTCGCAGACTGCTCGCAGGCGTGTCCCTCCGCCAAAGCCCAGTAGATCGAATTAGCCAGCGCGTATTCCCGCAAGTTGGCGAGTACCTCATCATCAATCTCAAAAGCGGCAAAGTTCTCGGATGCGGCGATGGCTTCTTCGGAGAAGGCTTCCACTATCACGGGTTCGTAGCTCTGGGCATTGATGAATTTGTTGTACATGATCTTCATGCTGGCGTAGTCTTGCGGAAGCTGGGTGATTCGGTCGGCAATGGCTTGAGCGTCGGCGAAGGTTGGAACGTCCTTCCCCACACCAGCGAAGCTGAGCACCATGTTCTTTGGGTTGGAGCGGCCGAGTTGGGCTTTACATTTCTCGCCGATGATGGCGATGTCCAAGCTCGAGTCTGTCTCTAGCATTCGCCTCGTTGCGCGCGTCATACCGGAATGGATGCCACCGCAGAGGCCTTTGTCGGAGCTGGCGATGACGAGGAGTGTCTTTTTGTCCTCTAAGGCTTTGGTTTGCGCTTCGTCGAAAACTTGTTGCGAGGTTTGGCCGTAGGTCCGTGAGTCAACCATTGCTTTCTGGGCGCGGGTAAGTTTAGTGGAGGCAACGATCTTCATGGTTTTTGTGATCTTTTCGATGTTCTTGATAGACTTGAGGCGGCCTGCAATTGGATTTAGTTTGTTATCTCGCTTGTTTGAAATCCGGTTTGGCTTACCCTCAATTTCCCGGAGCGTGGCATAACTGGCTGCATTTGGCACAGCAATTCTGTCGATGTATTAGTACAACTTCTGATCTGTACGTCTGATGGGTCAAGGACAGCCGGAACGTTGGCCTAGAAGGAGAGAACCGTACCGGGTCAAAGCCCGATTACTGGCACTCAGGGCTGGCCTGGCAGCTCGGGACAACATCGTGAACGTACTCGAGGCTTCTGTAGCCGTTCGAGAGCCAGCAGAGACTGCTTGCGGGAGGGGACTTAACGCACTGGTGAGTGTTTGAAGCTCTTTGATAGCTCCAGTATTGTTGGATGGAGGAGTTGTGATACCCCGGGGCGTTGGACGCTAAGCTGTTTGCATGCTAGCAAAGGAATTTGAGCCAGCAGCAGCATGTCTTAGAATCGGATTGTTGGAGCTTCACTCTGGACCTAGCACGGCACTCCATACTGCAAGTTACCTGACAACTAACCACTTCATCCGGCTTTCTTCCCCCATTCTTAACCACAAGCACCCTTTCTTGGGCGCCCCTGGAAATTGTCACCTTCACCATTAATCGCTCACCCACCTATTGTGGTTTATCTCGCTCATTTCTTCCTCATTCTACGTCTTCTTCACATTCAAAGACACTTCTACACTTCTATAGTGGCATTTCTACTTTCTCCACTATTCATAATATTCCGAACGCGTCTTGTGGGGTGCTCAAGCTACCTTTGCGGTTTTACCAACCTCCGATTCAGCCGCACCGTCTTTACACTCCGACATATCTTGCTCGTCCGTTCTCAACTTCAAGGCTTGTCTCAGCGCTGGAAATGCGCATCATGTCCTCCTCGGACGATGAGATACCCCTCAGCAGGAAAATGAACGGTTCAAATGGAGGTGAGTGGTCGAACCAACTTCTCTCATTGGGCACTCGATCAATCGACGACCGCCATTCAAAAACCCCCACAGACATTATTACTTCTACCATCATATCAATTTCATTGCTCGCTGACACGGTTACCTTTCTCTAGTCCGTGCTCCGGTGTCTGCAAAGACCATCCCGAAAAGTGTTGATGCTGCGCTGGACAAGGCAAACCCTTCAAAGGACCATGTTCAGCCTGGCATCTCAATCCGAAACGGGCCAATGGAAGACCATGACCACCACATGCCTGACGTGAATGGAGTGGAGATCAATGGCTCCACCAGCAAGAGGAAATCTAGAGGAAGCTTAGCGAAACCTTCCTACGCCGAAGCAGAGAGCAGCGACGAAGATAATCAGCCCTTGGTATGCTAAATTCTTGTCGATGTGCTGGAAATAGTTCTCCGTCATCATATCTTCATCCGGATGGTTTTACTGACTCTCGTATAGAGCAAGCGCCAAAGGACTTCTGCGCAGAAAGCTGGAGATATTGCCGAGTCCGATTCTGACGATGTGCCATTGGTGTCAAAGTCACACATTAGGCGGCCACCACGCGCGAGTCCTGCCCAGATAGGTGGACTATCTGATTCTGACGCCCCTATCGAACAAAAGCTAGTGGCGGAGAAGGAAAAAATCCAGAAAAAAGCCGCAAAGGAGGCAGTTGCCATTCGAAAGGAAGAGAAGAAAGCCGCATCCACGCCGGCGAAGCGAAAAGCGAAAGTGAAGGATGAAGATGGTAAGGGCCCTGACGCTGCAAAGGCCCAGAAAAAGTCTGCACCTAAGATTGCTGGTTCCAAGAAGGTCAATGGTGTCAAGAAAGAAGACCTCAGTGACGACGATGTCCCCTTGTCTAAGAAGTCCACATCCAGCAAAACATCGAAGAAGGTCAAAGCTGAAGCCTCTACTCCTGTAAAGAAGGGCTCCAAAGGCAAAGAGGCGAAGAAAGAAGAGAGTGCTGATGCTGAAGAGGATGAAGAGGAAGAGTATCGTTGGTGGGAGGATCCTGCTAAGGGGGATGGAACAAAGAAGTGGGACACTCTTCAACACCAGGGTGTCATTTTCCCGCCCCCGTATGAGCCCCTACCGAAGAATGTTAAGATGCTCTATGATGGGAAGCCCATCTCCATGCACCCGGATGCTGAGGAGGTTGCAACCTTCTTTGGGAGTATGCTGAATTCGACTCACAACGTGGAAAATCCCACCTTCCAAAGAAATTTCTTCAAGGATTTCCAAGACATCCTAAAGAAGACTGGCGGTGCCAAAGATAACTCCGGCGAGAAGGTAGCCATCAAAGACTTTGCGAAATGCGACTTTAGACCTATCTACGACTACTATGCCGCACAACGAGAAGCAAAGAAAGCCCTCCCGGCCGCCGAGAAGAAGAAGCTGAAGGCGGAGAAGGATGCCGTCGAAGCACCATACATGTATTGCACGTGGGACGGACGGAAACAAAAGGTTGGCAACTTCCGAGTTGAGCCTCCAGGACTCTTCCGCGGGCGTGGAGAGCATCCCAAAACCGGCACGGTGAAGACTCGGGTCATGCCGGAGCAGATCACCATCAACATCGGCAAGGAAGCCAAAGTTCCACCACCTCCTGAAGGTCACAAATGGAAAGAGGTTCGGCACGACCAGGAGGGCACATGGCTGGCCATGTGGCAAGAGAATGTCAATGGCAACTACAAATACGTCATGCTTGCCGCCAACTCAGACGTCAAAGGCCAGAGCGACTACAAGAAATTTGAGAAAGCTCGTGAACTCAAGAAGCACATTGATAGGATTCGGGCTGACTATCAAAAGGGACTGAGGGCAGCGCTTACTTCAGATAGACAGAAGGCTACTGCAGTATACCTGATCGACCAATTTGCTCTCCGTGCTGGCAACGAGAAGGGCGAGGACGAAGCCGATACTGTGGGGTGCTGCTCGTTGAAATTCGAGCACGTCACCTTGCGGGAACCAAATACTGTCATATTCGACTTCCTTGGGAAGGATAGCATCCGTTTCTACGATGAAGTTAAGGTTGATCCGCAGGTTTTCAAGAATTTGAAGCTCTTCAAGAAGCCTCCAAAGGAAGAAGGAGACGAGATCTTTGACCGTCTTACAACCAGCGCTCTCAACAAGCACTTATCGAATTATATGACTGGTTTGACAGCCAAGGTTTTCCGTACTTACAACGCATCGTACACGATGGCCACCTTGCTCAAAGACATGAAATCCACGGGCACCGCCAATGAGAAGGTCAAGGACTACAACGACGCCAATCGCGAAGTTGCCATTCTTTGCAACCACAAACGCACTGTTGCCGCTGGGCATGCTGGACAGATGGAGAAGCTGAGTGAGCGGATCAAAGGCGTGCGCTATCAGCAATGGCGCATCAAACAGATGATGCTTGACATCGACCCCAAGTTAAAGAAGAAGAAAGGTGCGGAGTACTTCGAATTGCCTCAAGACCTAGATGAAGAGTGGATTCACGAGCATCAAGCATATCTTGTTGACGAGCAGAAGTCCAAGATCACCAAGAAGTTCGAAAAGGACAACGAGAAGTTGAGAGCGGAAGGCGAGAGGGAGATGAAGGCCAAGGAGCTTGAGGAGAAGCTCGAGCCCGCAAGAGAGCTCGAGAAGAAATTCAAGAAGGAAAACAAGACCAAAAAGGTCGAAGCGGAGGGCAAAGGTCCCACAATTGAGAAAATGGAGGCCAAACTAACGCAACTCGATCAGAGACTTGCCAACATGAGTCTCCAGGCAGAAGACAAGGAGAACAACAAAGAGGTAGCATTGGGAACCTCGAAAATCGTGAGTACCGAGCCCGCCCTTGGGATTTTATGGATGCTGACCATGGCTGTAGAACTACATCGACCCTAGATTGACTGTCGTGTTCTCGAAAAAGTTCAATGTCCCCATCGAAAAGTTCTTTTCCAAGACCCTACGAGAGAAATTCGACTGGGCAATCAAATCCGTTGACGAGAAATGGGAATTTTAATTTTTACGAGACTGCTAGTTGGTGGGAGACTTGGTCACGACCTAAGACGCTCAAAACTCAAAGACGGGTGCTTGCATATGTTTGTGAAGATATCGGCGCGGGGCTGGGCTGGAACTGCATTGGCATGAACCTGGGCATGAGCATAGGATGCAGGCGGGTTTGTTAGCTAAGCTATCTAGATATTCTATCAGAAACTACTACAGTCGAATAGAGCTAAAACATAGATATATGGGAGGAACAACGCGGCTTGGAATAACCACCCTCTACTTCTGATACGAATTTGAGACGCACAGTCATTTGAGATCTGGACCGATCAACACTCTGTGCCGTCGGATGGCTAGCAGGGCACTTTGAATGATGATCGAGCTCAGAGAAAGTATTAGCAACGTGAACATGCTTCGTTGTGTCCATGATACTGGCTGCTAGAACGTCTCTATTCTACGCCGGTGCTGCTTGCAGGATGCCGGTTCCTGATTCTGACCCATGTGTTCTGTGTGCTTTCAACAATTCTGTATTGTTGGCTCCAGAGGGAGATATTGAGCTTTTCTTGGATTGGGTCAGGTTTCAGCAGCCTCCGGAGAAGGGGAAATGGTTGGCAGTGGGTAGTTTGCAGACGTTTGCTTGCAGGACAAGACTTGAGGAGATAATACCACCTCCTGGTGAGGCCAGGGAACGTGAAGCAGGAGGGAAGCATGAATCCCTACCGGATGAATCTGGACGTCGCAATTGAATTCTGTCATCTGAATAACCTACTGACCATATTCCCGGCCAAGTTCCTTGCGAATCCCGTCCCCATAAACGCGCTATTCGCGATATTCGACGCCTGGCTGAACTTGTCACATCTCGAAAATGCCACCGTGTTGGTAATTGTCAGGATCAAGGCGATAGCTATATTCGCCAACGTCAGCATAGCTTCCTTGTCCTTTCTCTCCGTTCCAGTTTTTTTTCTCGAGCACAAAAACTCACCCACGATAACCAACCAGATGGCATTCAACAGCCTCACTAGCGCCAACACGGCCAGTCCCACCCACAGCGCCGGCGCAACGTACATGCTCAACCAGAAGAATCTTCGATCCGTGGCATTGACCACGCGCGACCCGGGCTCGGCGGATTCAAATACCCAGTGTGAGTCGCCGGTCGAGGTGTTGACTTCGTTCCACCAACGAAGGCCGACGAGGCGGCGGCCGGCGATGTTTTTGAGGTAGTAGAAGTCGACGGAGAGGAGGAGGAGGGTTAGGATGAATACGAGGACGCTGTGGGGGTTGCAGGGTTAGGGTGGTTGGAATCTTGGGTGGGAGGGAGAAAGAGAGAGAGAGAGACTGACAAGTTCTTGATGAAGAGGACGCCGAAGAGGTACATCAGCAGGCTTCCTGTAGTATTGTTCAGTGGTAGGCTCGAGGGGTTGGGTATTTTGAACGGAGCCTATGTACCTATTCGGAAGCCTAGGTAGCAGAGTAGAGTGATGGGATGGGCACTGAGCCGCCAGTTCAGTTCACCAGAGTTGGAGTTATCCATTCTTATTGAAGGAAGAATAGCTCTAGTACCTCGTGTATGTTCGAGCTCTGAAACTTGCCATTGGGCAGGTAAAACAATTGCTGGAGTGCTCGAAGACAGACACCTAAGGCAGAGATCAGAATGCTTGGCAATTTCCGCTTTCAGCCAGCTCTGAGCGGCGATTTCGGCAGAAAAGAAGCTCCAATTGCGGAGACGACAGGAAACGAATTCCTCAGTCTTTGCCCTTTATTCTCCTGGCCGAGCTTCGCGTCTGGAACGGTAAGCCCATAAGCTCGGAGACTTAGACCGCTGCAGTTGGTGTGGAGTCTTCAGGCTGTCTGCTACAATGTCGTCTTGAATCGCTTCTTCTGCATCTAGCACTAATGGCGAAGAACATCTTGAGGCGGACGCTACTTTATGGTCTGCTGTTGCCGGGTTGTTCCTGATATAGAACTACATACTGAAATGCTTCAGTGCCTGGCTCATCCCAGAAGTTCCTCGACAAATCTCGAAGCTTGGCCGCCGATTGCGTGACATACGATCTCGAGGACTCTGTTACCCCTAACCGCAAAGCTGAAGCACGTTCCCTTGTTCGCAAAGCTCTGGATCAATCCCAGCCGTCAAGCATTAAAGAACGCGCTGTTCGCATCAATTCAGTTTCCTCCGGCCTTGCTCTTCCAGACCTGACCGAAATCCTGCAATCCCCAAACCTCACCACGCTTGTTGTCCCCAAGGTCAACTCCCCCAGCGACCTCACCTTCATTTCCGATGTAGTCGCTCATTCTCGCCCCACCGAGTTTGCCCAAGAACCAATCTCAATTCTTGCGCTCGTCGAATCTGCCCGCTCCCTAACATCCCTCTCCCAGATAACAGCCGCAACACCCCACCTCCTTTCTGGCCTGATTTTCGCAGCCGAAGACTACGCCCTCGACCTCTCATTGACGCGCACGCCAGATCTCAAAGAGTTTCTCTTTGCCCGCTCTGCCATCGTTACCGCCGCTCGAGCCGCCAACCTGCCCTCCACCATCGATCTCGTCTGTACAGCCTTCAAATCTGAAGCCGACCAGGAGACATTGGAGCATGAGTGCCGAGACGGCAAGAGGATGGGCTTCAATGGCAAACAATGTATCCATCCGGCCCAGGTCGGGACGGTGAGTAAGATTTTCAGTCCCGAGTTGGAAGAGGTGGAGTGGGCCGTGAGGGTGACGATTGCGCAGAAGAGGGCAGAGGAGATGGGGAGAGGGGCTTGGGCGCTGGATGGGAAGATGATTGATGCACCCGTGGAGGGCAGGGCAAGGGCAGTGGTCAAGAAGGCAGAGTTGTGCGGGTTCGATGTCAAGGCTATGCAGGAAAAGTTTAAGGATCAGCAGCCGGAATGAGTCGATTGGTCGATCAACTTCCCAGTTTCCTACCATCGAGAAGGCGGAAGGTGTTTCGAGGCTATCAAGCTACCATTATTTACGCCCAACTCTAACCCTCACAACCAACCACTCCATCACTTGTCACTGAACTCCCCAACCAAGGAGAGGAAGCTAGCATGTCTTCATTACAGCTTCAAAAGCCAAAGTCGCCCACATCCACACCGATAACCAAGACCTAATCAGTCTCATGGAGTTTAGCAACGCCGCCGCGGTGAGAAGCACGGATGATCTCAGCAACCTCCACTAGATCACGCTCGCGATGCATACCTCGACTCAACTTCGACATAGACTTTAGTCTTGAGGGTCTTCTTCCGATCTAATGATCGCCGTCCCTGTCATGCAGGATTGATTCTCCCCCGATCCCCTAAGATGGAAACAACACAGACAGGAAGTCAACGAGCGAGAGGATCTGATCCCGGCGTCTGGTTTGTCAAATTCGTGCATCCGAACAGCCAGACGCCCGGTATTGCCCCATTCGATCACTTCTGAAAGGCAACTGAGAACCTCTCCCGACGGAGCCGAAGAAGCCATCTGGACTGCGGACGGGAAGCTTGGTTTGGGATGGTGTAAGTAAGGAAAGAAGTGGTGATCAGATCTCGATGCTTCGTTGTGTCCATGATACTGGCTGCTAGAACGTCTCTATTCTACGCCGGTGCTGCTTGCAGGATGCCGGTTCCTGATTCTGACCCATGTGTTCTGTGTGCTTTCAACAATTCTGTATTGTTGGCTCCAGAGGGAGATATTGAGCTTTTCTTGGATTGGGTCAGGTTTCAGCAGCCTCCGGAGAAGGGGAAATGGTTGGCAGTGGGTAGTCGGCTCGCCTCGCTACCAGATCGCTCCAGAAAAGGTCAGCGGCCGGTCAGAGCTGCTACGTCTGATGCTTTCCGGGCGTCAATTCCTTATAGCTGGCAACCCTGCCTATGAGTACTGGAAGCGCAGTCTGTCGCCCATCACTCAAACCAAGACTTTCGCTTA